GTGTGTGTGTGTGTGTGTGTGTGTGTGTGTGTGTGTGTGTGTGTGTGTGTGTGTGTGTGTGTGTGTGTGTGTGTGTGTGTGTGCGTGTGCGTACATGTGTGTTTGTGTTTGTTTGTGTCCATGTCCCCATGATATGACATAAGTTTTAAACTCTAAAAGCTTCATGGAAGATGTGGGGCCCATTTGAGTTGATACGGTATCCAGGTCCATATTTGCCCCACGTGTGGACTATCCAGAACCGTGCTTGAGCATGGCTCTGGATAAAGAACAGTTCTGCGTCCGAAATTCAGGCACAGAACTACTACAATAGACCGGTTCTGGATACAACAGAGAACACCACCGACTGCAGCTGACGAGACGCCTGACAGTGACGTCAGACAGTGACGTCACGGTGTCCTGGTTAAGTCCAGGATGTGCCAGTTGGGGGGATTATTGGCTCTCATTGGATAAATAGGCGGGAGGCCAGAGGTCGTCCCTACATGAGCGGGGATGTTGGGATTCTATTTTCCGCTTCAGACACTCTGTAATCACAGCTGTGCAGCGCGTATGGAGGTTAGAATTCTGTTTGTTACAATCTGAACCGTTTGACGAACTTTTTTTCTTCAGACTAAGGCCACACCGACTTAATTCTATGGATGACATCCACGCGCGCATTGATTTTCGCCTGTTCTAACAAAAAAAAAAAAGATCACGTCCTCCAAAGCTCTGGCCTGGCTCTAGGCGTTGGTAGTCCACAATACAGAGTCAGTGGTAACTCTGAAGGATGGCACCCAGGCTACAGAAGTTCCAAGACTCAAGAACTCAGTACATACAAATACGTACAGTGCCGATCCATAGATTCCGCAAAAAGCCAGCATGTGCCGGCTTGTCGTATATATACTGCCGCAAATTCACAATACCAGCTTTATATTCCTATTCATATTCAAAAGAATGTATAAATTGTTGTGTGTCTAGTATTTTAGTGTATCTATATGTATTGTGTATTTATGTGTATATATGTCTGTACTATTTTTGCAATGGCCCTGAATAAAGAAAATCAATTCAATAAGCAAAAAAAGAAAGTATTATATTAATGTTCTCAGTTGTCAGATGATGGATCCTTGGTAAGACCCAGGCCCTGTACATGTAATAATGTCTGTACGTCACACTCCGTATGTCTTAATTAGACTCGGTGTGATGTCACGATGGATGGTAGTAGTGGACGTACCGTATCCAAAACCGTGTGACACTGTCTATGTGGTTCTATGACTGAATGGGTTAGAGTTAAGATCAGGCACGGTTCTGGATAGCCTCCGTGTTATGTAATCTAAGAACGTAGATTTGCCTCAGACACGGTTCTGGATACGCGTGGGGACTATCCAGAACTGCGTCTGAGCATAGTTCCGTATAAAGTACGGTTCTGGATAGTCTTCGCGTATCCAAGAACGTAGATTCGTCCCAGACACGGTTCTGGATACGCGTGGACTATCCAGAACCATGTCTGAGCATGGCTCTGAATGCTGTATCTAAATGCATCTGGATACAACAGTGTACATTCAGTTTACCGAGAGTTGAGCTCAGTAGCAGGTAGCAGATGAGAAGTTTGGCAGCCATCGCAGCTTGAGGATTTTCCCCAGAGTGGATCTGGAAAAAAAAAA